AAGAAAAGAACACATCTTTCAAAAGCTGTGCATTTTTAAAGTTATGCTGAATTTATAGTGCGAATGCAAGTTAGAGCCTTTGTTAATTTTTTGGAGAAAGGCAGGTTGCTTACCTGTTACTGTCGCTCTTTGAGTGGCCATTGTGCATTCACACATTATGGATGCTGTGCCTCCGCAGTGCCTGTTGCTGGGAAGATGAAACAGCTTTAATGGTTTGGGCGGGAACTCAGCACCCTCCCCACTTAGTATAAAGGGGTGGAGTGCCCGCCATTTCCCCAGTCAGTTGGAAACTGTCCGTTCATCCACAAGTGGAGAGAGTCGGTAAGGAATTCAACTCATAGGAAAAATGCTAGCAAGACAAGTAGACAAAAAAGAGGAGTATACATGTAATATGTATATACGAAAAAGGGGCATATACACACATATGTATGTATACATGTTATCATATAAAAAAACAGAATGAACGAATGTAACAAATACCCAGTCACCAACACAGAGTGGGGCCGGTGGGCAGGTTGTGTGAATGCACAGATGGCCACTCGAAGAATGACAGGTAAGCAACCTGCATTTCTTCATCGTGGCCTCTGTGCATCACACATTATGGGTGACTAGTAAGCTTACCACACCCAGAGGCAGGACGGTGTCGTCAATGGAGAACTGAACAGAGGACGGCTTGGCTGAAGGAACAATCTTGTGTAGCCCTGAAGTCCAAGTGGTAGTGCCTTACAAAGGTGCACGGGGTGAACCACATAGCCACTCTGTAAGAGAATCCCTGCTTGGGGGGTGCTGAGGAAGCAGCAACACCTCTCGTGGAGTGTCCCTTTGGAGTAATAGGCTGATCAAACTTGGAAAGACAATAGGCTAGTTGAATTGTCTCAACAATCCACTTTGAGAGTCTCTGAGAACTGACTGAGAGACCCCTGTCAAGTTCAGAGTATTTGACGAAGAGTCATTTAGACTTTCTGAAGGCTCTGGTCCGGGATTGATAGAAGGCTAAGCATTGACGGACATCTAAAGTATGTAAGGATTGTTCAGTTGGTGTCAATGGAGCCGGAAAAAAGGCTGGCAGGACAATGTCTTGGTTCAGATGGAAGTAAGTTGCAATTTTAGGCAGGAAACTTGGATCAGTGCAAAGGACTACCTTTTCCTTATGGAAGTTAAGGTATGGAGGGTCGATGCAGAGAGCACAGAGTTCACTGGCTCATCTAGTCGAAGTAACTGCTACCAGAAAGGTACTTTTCCATGAAAGAAGATGAAGGTCTGTTGTAGCCAGTGGCTCAAAAGGGGGTTTGGTAAGAGCTCGAGGAACGATAGAGAGACTCCAGGTTGGAACTACCGACTGGGTTGGTGGGTGGAGGTTTTGTAGAACTCATAGAAATCAACGGACAAGATAATGTGAGAATGCAGTCGAGTCTCTGATTCATCCTCTATGTTGTAAGACAGCATCAATGCACACCTTAACATAGGATGGTTTAAGAACTCGTTGGTGAAGTGAGAGTAAAAAGTGAAGAATATTCTCAATGGTGGCAGATTCAGGATGAAAAGGATGCATAGCCGCAAAGGAGGGGAAACATTTCCACTTTGCACTGTGGAAATGTGTGGTCGGTCATAGGCCAGCTTGGAGAATAAATTGAATGTCAGGATGAAAAGTTGTCAGATTCGAGGAAGGCACTGGTACCGATGTTGAAGTCGAAGGCAATACTGGTGTGGACGGAGACAATGTTGAAGACAAAGATGGAGAGGCCAGCATTGACCCCGAGGGCAAGAGGTGTGACGAATCCGAGGAAAACGTCAGTACTGATGTAGAAGAGATAGTCAATGGAGAAGCCAAGCCGTGAGGTTCAGAGACCATAGATCTGGAAGTTGAATGGAACCATGTTCCCAAGTGAGAAGATGAGGGACTTGAGGTAGGTGAAAGAAATTGTTGCAAGATAGTTGGAGAAGATTGGGGAACCAGTGCTGTTGGGGCCCCAATGGAGTGATGAAAATTCCACGAGCAGCATCTAAGTGAATCTTGGCAATCATTTTCGTTATTAAAGGTATCAGTGGGATCAATACACTGCTGAATGTCGATCTCCAGAGACTTGGTCATGCAGGAGAGTAACTCAGAGAAGGTTCCCTGAGAGTCACCTGGAGACCAAGGGCCTTGGGTGAAGATGACTGCATCTGGAGATGTAGATGCCTCTTTAGAATTGTCTGAGTCTGAGTCCGAGATGTAAGGTGGACTGGACGAGGATCCTCCAGGAGACATGGAGGGGTCAACAAGTGCTGAGATGGAGGTCGACAGTGCCTCTCTCAACATGGAGTGTGGCGTAGAGTGACGAGGACCTGGCATCAGATGTGGGTAGTACCCATATGGGGGATAGTAGTCCCATGGGTAAGGTTGATCGAAGTGGTCAGGATCGAATTCCCCGTAAGGAAGGGGAACCCAGTGCGGAGCCGAAGGTGGAGGCAGTAAGAGGGATGCAGGGGTTGAGGTGCCCTTGGAGATTCCTCCGGAAATGAGTGAATCACAGGTGTAGGTGTTGGAGATCCCACAAGCAGTTCTTCGAGTCCCGGTTGAGGAGATTCACGGATCTCTCCGTCGGACATAGAGCCTCTTGCCGTGGTATCGGGACTGAAATGTGGCAAAGTTGTAACCCTTGGTGATGATGATGAAGGGGTCACCTGCATCAAGGACTGATGGCTCAGGGCTTCAGTCGGAACCGAGGTCAGTACTGAGACTGGGATGGAAGTCAGCTCCGAGCGGAGTGTCTTTTTGTATTTCTTATGCTGACGCTTGGGCTTATTGGGTTTCTTCTTTTTGGATTGCTTGGACTTCAAGGAATCCTCGGACCCGATATGCTTCTTCTTCTCTTTATGCTTACATGGAGGAGGGCTAGAGGAGCACTTCCTATCCTTGGCAACCGGACCCCCATCGGATGGTTTGGCAGATGGGGGTTTAGATGATCCCGCAGCAGCAGAGGAGCCGGCCTTAGCAGAGACCTGCTTCATGGCTTGGTCCCATAACATCTTGCGCAGCCTATTTTTACCATTTTTTTGTGCCTGTCCTGTAAAGGACTGGCAGTGGCTGTACTTACCTGTCCTGTGGCCTTCCCCAAAACAGAGGAGGCACAGGCATGAGGATCAGTGGGGAGCATTTTAGGCTCACACTGTGAACACTTACGAAAAGCCACCTGCTGTGCCATCAAGAGAAGAAAAAGAGGACAAAGTGAGCTTATAACTTTGGAGAAGAAGGACGAAATATGAAAGAGAGTAGGGTAGAGGTGGGGGGTGAGAAAAAAACAGGGAATAATAGGAATGGGGCGAACTGGGACAGAGTATAACTATACGTGAAAAAAGAATGAAGACAAGAAAGGAGCTTCTTAACCAGATCTAGCAATAACAGCAGAGAGCACAGTGAACGACGATCACAAGCAGACTGGGGAAATGGCAGGCACTCCGCCCCTTTATACTAAGGAGTGGGAGGGTGTGGAGTTCCCACCCAAACCATTAAAGCTGTTTAATCTTCCTGGCAACAGGCACTGCGCAGGCACAGCACCCATAATGTGTGATGCACAGAGGCCATGATGAAGAACATGTGTGTCTACTTATATTTATGTTCAGGATCATAAAAGCACATTTTCCAAGGATTTAGAAACTGAAATGAAATTCTCATACTACCCTAATGGTGATGCCTGGATCCAGCAGCTATGGACATAATATGGAAATTTATCACACAAACCTGCTAGAAACTCAGGTTGCATCCTATATTTAACTTCGGTAGAACAACAATATGCGGCCAGAACATCCTGGGTGCAAAGGAAGGGGGACTTGTAATGAATCCCCCACATTCCCTATTTTAGAAGTTACAACTGGTCTGTAATAACCTGCTGGGTTTTCCCTCCTGCAATATCATTCTACTTTTAACAGATCAGAATGCTGTTGGTAAACACATTTTTCCTTCTTTTCACAATCACATAACTTCTAGGGCCCTTTACTTTTCTACTTGTATAGAATCAGTGGTTTCACTGGGACACATGGTATTCAATAGGCCCCTTGGACAACTTGATCACTGCTCAGCATGTACAGGACTGACCTCCAGCCACCCATTGTAGCAGTGGCAAAGTTCTGCAGAGAACAGACTTGGCAACCTACAGCAAAAGCACAGAGGGCAAGGCATCCTAAGCCTGCTGCCACAATTCTTCTGCATGATGGCTCCATTTTGGGATCGGGCCATCTCCCTTCAAGCTTGATTTCAACAGGGTAGGGAAAGGAAGGAAGGAATCTCTGGGTTGGAAACAAGTAAACTGCTCCTTTGATTTTTGCTCTGGTTGGCATGAGCAAGGCGAATTTAGGAAGTGGTACAGGATTCTGCCCTCCCTCAAACCATAAATTAGGATTCCTTTCTTTGTATACACAGTCAAATCAAGTTATATTTTTAAAACAAAACTATTCTCAAATAAAGAATTAGGCTCCTACTACCTCTACCAAATGGACTTTTTGTTCTTTAATGTTATCTTCTCCACAGCTTTATCTGAATGATCATGTTAGAAATGAACATACTTCAAAACTATTTGTGCAACAGAATCCATTTAGTGTTTTACTAGAGGTTACTAGTATGTAATTAATTTCAGTACACTGATATAGTTTGCTGCTTTATAGTCCTGTCTCCACTCCCATACTAACACTTCTAGGGATAAGTGGAAAAGAAGCATGACTCTGAAATTCAATTTACACATTAAAGAATCTTTTCATTTTAGGTGAAAGTGCCACCTTATACCTGGCTAACAACTGTCCTGCATTTTGGGGGGTGGAAGGGGGGCTTAGTTTGCATTTTATTATACTAAATATGGGAACAGCTATGACTGCTGTGTTTTCATTGTTGATAACAAGTGAAAAGCAAGGTAAGTGTGTGTTTTGCAAACTTTGCAATGAGATGTGTTTCCTTACAAATAACGCTTTGTATGCCACTGTGATGCCAAAGAAAGAGATAAAAACAAGTGTGCATTTCAACTGACCTGTTTTTCATTTTCATCCTCCAGCTTCAGCCTGTCCTCTATGCAGTTCCTGGCCTGAAGGAATGCCTTCCTCTGTGCCCTTTCCGTCAAAATCCTCACAAAGACCCCATATAAATTTACACTGACAAAAAGGATAGCATTGGCCACAAGCTGTAAGGGGAGAAGAAGCAAATAAGAAAGATATAATACACATGCTTTCACACATTGCTACAAAATAGTCATTCTGCCTTAAGTCAAGTTACTTCCCTTGCATTATTCTGATGCAAAATGAGTGCTGCCTATTATGGATCATACAAACCTGACTCTTTTGAATTACACCATGGGTCCCTTCAGTTCTGTGTTTTGCTGCCTAAGGCAGAGGAGGTGCCTCCTCACCCCAGACAAGGTGATAATACCCAAGAACCAGGTTATTTTGGCCTTTGGGATAGGAAAACCAACAAGAACTATTTCTTCTCTCCTACAGTAAAAATACATTGGGTTGGATCCAGACTTAGTCATAGCTTACGTTCTTAAGTAGCTTAAGTTCTTCTCATTTCACTTGGTCAAATCTAGGTACAATTAAGTTTAATTACAATCCATTAATAATAAAGAGAACAATTGGCTGCATTTTCAAGATAGCACCTCACTCTGCCTACACAGAAGGCCAGCCTTCCTTCTCCATATGATAAGGACTCTCCAGAGACATAGGGTGTTCCCCAGTCCTGTTACCCAAACTCCTTTTAAATAGAGATGCCAAGCCTTGATTTGGAGACTTGTTGCATGCAATGCATGAGCTCTACTACTGAGAAATACCCTTCTCCTTAGAACTACAGCAGTGTCCTCTTGTTGAGGATTTCATACACTGAGGCTTTGCCCTAGCTGCTTGACTACTTCTGGTGGGCAGCTTCTGGGGATGTGAGACCTAATTTCCCTCAGGACCCAACAGGAGCCAACAGGAGCCTCTGCCACTGAAACTGCCCATGCTACTACATTTGCTGCAAGAATTTGGCACTGTAGAAGCAACAATCAATGGTTTTTCATTAAGAGAAAAGTACATTCCCCACATTCCTTGTCTAAAGCCAAATTATGCTCTCTTAAAGCTTCCAGGAAATGCGAAATTTTGTGGGCAAATTCAGTAGGATGGCAAGGGTGAAGGTAAAAATGGGGCCGGGAAAAATGGGCAGATGTCCTGTTATTAGGAAGGCTTAAATACCGTATTTTTCCACGTATAAGACAATACTTTTTCTTAAAAATCTTTATCTAAAAGTGAAGGCACGTCTTATACACGGGGGGCTGAGAAGAGGACCGCAGTTGTGAAACTGCTAATACCTTATCTCTGCAAACTAGTCTCGCGAGCAAAATGTCCAATTGCAGAGACACACTAACAGGTTTCCTCCAATCATGAGCCTTATGTAACTGACATCAGCTGATGCTGCAGAGAGTGTGTAGCCCAGGGGTCCAAATGAAAGGCGGTGGTGGCAGGCACGGGCATGCTCGGAGGGAGACTGGAACGAATGGGGGCGTGCTTGCGGGGAAGACTGGTGTGATTGTGGGCTCGCATGCAGTGAGGCAGCAGCTTGCTCGCTCGGAGATCAGTAAGAAAAGTGGGGGGGGGGTCCTATACATGGGGGCATCTTATAGATGGAAAAATATGGTAATAAGCTGAAAGGCTTAAAGTGGGAGCCTGTGGGTGAGGAAAGAACCTTGAAAATCTGAATGGAATATAAACTGTGTATGTGTTTCTAGCACAGTACAAAATTTAGGAGGCAGATTCCTTAACAATTGCTCTGATCAAGAGCTGTTTCATTGCTATGAGGGCTCAGGAGGCTCTGCCTACAGTGCCTTAAGGCAGGAGTATAGAACTTCCTGGATAGAGGTTCAATTACAAGTCATGCATCCTGGAAGCATCACCCCAGAGAGCTTCCCTTTCCCGATTTCTCCAGTTTGAGACATGAAGATATGAGTGTTATGAGGGAGCACATGCTGTCGGGTGGATGTAATCACATCATATGCCCTGAACCCCTTTCCTAAAGTACAGAATACATTTTCCTGAATCCACAAATATCTTAACTATGAACCCAAGGACCATATTCTTTGAAATGCACAGAATGTAACACACTATCCCAGATACATGTTGTTAAACGGGATTGTTGCAGTATGGGAAGCATGAGAGCAATCCTAATAAGATATATTTATTATTATTTATTATTTGCATTTATATACCACCCTAATAGCCCAGAGGGCTCTCTAGGTGGTTTACAAACATTAGAACCCCACCAATCCTAAACAAATAAATAAACTGACTACACTACAACTGAGTATAAAATAACATTGTTTGTTTGTTTATTTAAAACATTTCTATGCTGTACCCATCGCAACAAAGCCTCAGGGCAGCTCACAACATAATTAAAACATATAAAGAACAAGATAATACAATTAAAAATTTAAAAAACCCGGTAACATCTTGGCTTAAAAATTTAAAACCTATACATACATAATAAGTTAAGAATTAACATAAATTAAAATAAAGTTAAAATGAATTAAATAAATGAATATGCCATTAAAATTAATTAACTTTAAAATATTGGTTAAATAAAAAGGTCTTGACCTGGCGCCAAAAAGCATATAATGACGGCGTCAGGGGGACCTCTCTAGGGAGCGCATTCCATAGTTGGGGCACCACCACAGAGAAAGCTCTCCTAACCTCTTTCAATGACTCCGCAGCCCAAACCTCCTGATGACCTCTCCCAGCGGTTTCATGTAGATGTTAAATAGCAAGGGGGACAAAATGGAAACTGAGGTACTCCATGGCAGAGTTACTATGCTGCAGAGACAAAGTCCCCCAGCACCACCTTCTGGAATCGGCCAGCAATGTAGGAGTGGAACCACTGCCCAGCAGTGCCTTCTACTCCCAATCCCACCAGTCTATCCAGGAGGATACCATGGTTGATGGTATTGAGAGCCGCTGAGAGGTCCAGGAGAACCAACAGGGACGCACTCCCCCTGTCTCTCTCCCTGCACAGGTCATCGTATAGGGCGACCAAGGCAGATTCAGTACCGTAACCGGGTCTGAAACCAGACTGAAATGGGTCTAAATCAGTTTCATCCAAGAGTGCCTGGAGTTGTCCCACCACCACCCGCTCCAACACCTTGCCCAGAAATGGGATGTTGGCCACCAGTCTATAATTGGCGGCCATCTCTGGATCCAGAGACTCATTCTTTAGGACAGGCCTGATCACTGCCTCCTTTAAAGAAGCAGGGACCCGGCCCTCCTTCAATGAGGTGTTTAGTAACCTCCTGGACCCAGGAACCAATCCCGTGTTTGGCTTTGATAAGTAACCATGAAGGGCAAGGGTCAAGTAAACAGGTGGTTGGACGTACTTGTCCAAGAACCTTGTCCACATCATCAGGCCTCATTAACTGAAATTAATCCAATAAAGCTGGACCAGACAGAGTTCTGGACATCTCCCCTAGAGGAACTGTATCAACCGGGGAGTCCAGCTCATGACGAATCTGAACAATTTTCTCCTTAAACTACTGGGCAAAGTCATCACAGCGGGCAATCGATGGTGGCACAGGATCTTTTTTAGGGCCTAGATGTATTAGCCCATGTACCACTCAGAAAAGCTCCGCTGGATGGTACTATGAGGAGGCAATGGAAGTGGAGAAGAATTTCTTCTTCACCGCCCTCACTGCCACAGCATAAGCTCGATAGTGAGCACGTAAGCATGTTCGGTCAGATTCACCCCGTGATTTCCTCCACCTGCACTCTAATCGTTTCCCAACCCGCTTCATTGCCTGCATTTCAGATGTATACCATGGAGATGAACGGGCTCTGCCTGGCAGGAGAGGACGCTTAGGAGTGATTGTGTCAATAGCTCTGGTCATTTCCTCATTCCACAGCTCAACCAGAGCATCAACAGGAGTGCCATCTTTATCAACCTGAAAATCCCCCAGAGCCCTCAGGAATCCATCCGGATCCATCTGGCTCCGAGGGCAGACCATCGTAATGGGGTCCACACCCTCACAGAGGGAAAGGCCAGCTCTGAGCTTAAACCTCACAAGGAAGTGATCTGACCATGACAAGGGAGTCAGACACAAGTTCCTCACTTCCAGATCACCCTCTTCCTGCCCTGTTGAGAAAACCAGGTCCAGAGGGTGACCTCATTCATGGGTTGGGTCAATGACATGTTGAGACAGCCCCATGACTGTCATGGAAGCCATGAAGTCCTGAGCCATCCCAGTCAGAACAGGCTCGGCGTGGAGATTGAAGTCCACCAGGACCAACATCCTGGGAGTCTTCAACACCAGGTCTGAGATGATCTCCGTCAGCTCAGGCAGGGAGACTCCTGGGCAGGAGGGTGTACGGTACACCAACAGAATCCCTAATCAGTCTCGGTCACACACCACCAGGTATAAGCACTCTAGGCCTGGTCTCAAGGGGACAGGAAGCCCCATGAGGGAAATTGCAGCTCGATGAACCAGACCGACCCCCCCTCCCCTCAGGGCATGGCTTGTGCTGGATTGGATACCCAGGCAGACATAGCTCAGAAAGGGCTATATCCCCACCCTCTCCCGCCCAGGTCTCTGTAATGCAAGCCAGGTCAGCCCCCTCATCCACTATTAGATCATAAGATGGGTTCTTTTAGAAAAGTATCAACACCATCAGTGTAGTTAAAGCATGGATGTTAGCTGTTTTGAAAGGACATCATGACATGTTTTATTATTGTGTATCAAAAGGTCTTCAAGGAGGCTCAGTGGATAAAAACAATATAAAACCCCTAAAATAACTAAAAGCAATAAATGGCATAAAGAAGATTATTCACCAGTAAAACAAATAAACTGTATGAGCTTGAAAGAGTGAAAGCATCTTTACTGGCCCCACAACCTCCCAAAAAGAAAGAAAAGAAGAATTGATGCCATATAAATATCTCTGAGGAGGGTTCTCAAAGGTAGGTGCTACTGCAGAAAAGGCCCTGCCTCTAGACTTCACCCACTTAACCTCTGAAGCAGAAGCAGCTGGCAAAGCATAGTATTCTACCCTAAACTGATTTAGAAAACAGGATGCAGGATTGTTCAAAGAAATGCTGCTTTCTTCACATATTCCTTGATAGATAATGTGTCCTGATTACCTGCTGCTCAACTAAGAAGACCTCAACAGCATACTTCTA